CTCTCTCTCTCTCTCTCTCTCTCTCTCTCTCTCTCTCTCTCTCTCTCTCTCTCTCTCTCTCTCTCTCTCTCTCTCTCTCTCTCTCCCCACATCCTTGTGCGCAACAGTGATCTGAATCGATTGTTTTCTTCTCTTTTTTTTTCTCATAGAAGAATGTCGTTGTTGTTGTTTTCTCTTTTTTTTTCCCTCACGGTGTGCAACCGGGTCCAGCCTCGGCAAGGCTCGGGATACCCGAACTGAATAGCAGGGCGAGGTACTGGTGGTTAAGAAAAGACAAAATAGTATTCCTCATTGGTGAGGCAGTTAAATGGCCTGCTGCTACAATCCCGCACACCTGAACATAGCAGACAATCATGCAGCTAGAAAACAACAAATTGTGTTTGGTATTGGCCAAGTTTCAGACCCCATTTCAGCCCCTGAGCTCAATCCCTACCAATAGCTTGGTGCACACCTCTGAACTTTTTTTTTTTTGCTTTCTTTTTTTTTTCTTTTTTTTCTTTCCTTAAAACGCCCAGGTTGTTGTGGAGGTGGGATATTAGACCGATGGCAGTCACGGACAGTACTCGGCCACTCGGTTGTCCAGCTGAGCCCATGTGAAGACCCCACCCACCCCCCCACCCCCCCTGTCCTACCCTAGTGTTAAGTTCTGTTAACCACCCAGGACCATCACCCATCACCATCTCGGCAGGGTGACCTGTCCAGACAGCGGTTGCAGCCACCGGGGCTAAGCAGAGACACCCACCCCCATGTTCAGCCCTGGTTGAAGCAGACGCTGCAAACCCGATTGCACGGGGACTTCAGGAGCTAGGTATGAACATGCTACTACAGGTCTTCATGAGGGTGCACAGTGGCTCCCAGCTAGCACAGTTGTGTGGTGACGATAGAGAGCTGGGAATCCTCCGTTCTCGCGTTCTTGCGCGTGTCCCTAGAGCGGTAAGGTGCAGTATCTCCCGACGCCCCCGACACCCCATACTAAGGTACTGCTATGCCAGCCTCAACCCTATGCCACGTACTAGGAGGATAGCCAACCCTGAGTCTTGAGTTCTGATTGGAATCTCTTATCCTTATGTTGTATTACTAGTGTTCTATTGTGTTGATGGTAGAGAGAGCTGGGGATCCTCCGTTCCCTCGTATATCCCTGGAGCCCGTTCCGGCGCCGGGGTAAGGTGCAGTATCTCCTGACACCCCCCGGCA